TCTATTAACCACTCGTTCCCCCACCCTTTTCCTAACACACACTATGCTCACTGTTGGAATCATGTACCTCTGTTTTCCAAACACCTTTGTTTTTGTAATCCTTTCTTCCTAAAGCACACACCATCTGTGGTAATTCTACCAGCCCTCCGAACGTCACTTCCTTCTTTTTGAAACCCTTCTTATCATCTGATTTAGTAAGGATTCCTCCCCTCAGACTCACTTTGTTTTGTATAACCTGGCTCTCTGTGTACCTGGTTCTATTCCCCTAATAAACCTGTAAGCTCACTGTTCACAAGACAATATCCTACTTTCCTATGTGAGCAATGAAATACCAAACAATGCCTTTGTGTGTGTGTATGCTCAGTCGCTCAGTCATGTCCGACTCTTTGAGACCCCACGGACTGTAGCCTGCCAGGCTCCTCTTGTTCATGGGATTTTCCAGGCAAGAGTACCAGAGTGGGTTGCCATTTCCTCCTCCAGGGAATCTTCCTGATCCAGGGATCGAACCCATGTCCCCTGCAGCTCCTGCATTAGCAGGCGATTCTTTACCACTGAGCCAACTGGGAAGCAACAATGACTTTACCTCAATTTATAATTAAAAAAATTTTAGCCACTGATTTCATATAAAAGACTCCTGTACTATATGTAATATGCAATATTTGCAGGCTCACACTTTCACTGAAATTATATAAAACATTTCAAAAAGTAAAAATTGATAATTGATAGCAACTCCAAAAATATTCCTGATGAATTTCTGGAAGATTTGGTCCATTTTGTGTGATTTACCAGGCAAAAAAACAACCAAAAGTTCAAGCAGTTTCAATTAATTTGGGCAAGAATTTTGAAATCTTCATTTAACTCTAAACTGGAACTCTCTTTTCCCCCTTTCCTTCCTCCTCCTTAATCATTAGGCAGGTAGGTGCATTCACCCTTCTGTAACTTTTATAATTTTTTATTTAGGAAACAGGGACATTAGGAAAAAGGGACTAATTTTAAGGTTAAAAGTTAAAAACTTGAAGGTAATCACACTAAATGGTTCATCTTCATATAACCAAGAAACCAAGGGGTGGGAGCAAGGGCTGAGGATAAACTGGTACATAAGTATCGGGATGGACGGTTACATTAAAACTATGGATGCCTGTGTCTCATCTCAAGAGATGATGATTTAATTTGTCCACGATGTAGTAATCTCTGGGATTTTTCAAAGCTTCCCAGACAATTCTTATGGGCTGCCACAATTGAGATGCACAACTTAACATTTATTAAATATATAGTACATGACCAACACTGTTCTAACTGCTTCAGTGGATAAACTCAGTATCCACAACAAGCTCAGAAAGTGCACACTACTATGTATTCCATAGTAGTAAAACTCTGTGTGGTGGTTTTACAGTGTCCACAAAGTCTGACACTTCTTCTTTCAAAAGATGGTGCCTAATTCCTCTCCTCTTCAATATGCTCCTAATGAATATAATGTGGTACAAATGATGCTATTTGATTTCTGGGGCTAGGTCACTGAAATGATGATAGCTTCCATCTCTCCTAATGTGCTCACACTCTGGGGGAAGCCAGCTACATGTTATGAGAACACTCAGGAGATGCTCACAGAAAAAGGAACTGAGGCATCTCAAGAGCCAGCACTACACTGTCAGCCATGTGAACAAACCACCCTGGAAGCAGATCTCCCAGCTCCAGTCAAGCCTTCAGATAACCGCAGCCCTTTGACAACTCTTGAGAGCAACTTCCTGATAGAAAATACATGTTTAATGTGGTTTTCAGACAATTGTTATGTAGCAATAGATACCTAATATACTAAGACACAGAAAGGTTAAGTAACCATCCATACTAATGCAGCTGGCGGCAGGCAAACAAGTCAGAATGGACACAAAGGCCCATGCTCTAAACCACAGGCTGTAATTTCCTCCTTCAAAATGAATCTTATTTTCTCTGTATCTCATTAGAGTTGATGCTGGAATCAAAAGATATTATATAAATAAAGTATCTTCTAGGTATTACACAGTGAGTAGTCACTAACTAGTACCTATTATCAACAGAAGGAATAAATTCTTACAGAGAATAAATATTAAAATACAAACAATTTACAGAAAATTATACAAAAAACAAAAACAACACCCAGTAGCATTTTTAGACAGCTTATCATTTATTTTAAACTCATTCCTTATTTCTATCTCTGCTAGTCTTTAAAGATTTCTAAGGAAAAAACATCAGTTCTGTAGTAATTAATGATTTTTATTCTAGACAGTATCTAATTAGCACCTTCTGTAGGCATTTTACTAATTAATTTTTAATAATACATACACCAAGTTGTGATAAAGTTTTTTTTTTAAAAAGCAGTGCTATGGACTGAATTTTTTCCCTACAAAGTCACAGGTTAAAGTCCTAAACTCCAATGTGACATAAACTCCAATATTTGGAAGCAGGACCTTCACAGGGGTAATTAAGGTTACACGAGGTCATAAACATGAGGCTCCAAGACCCTCTTCAGATTCAATGCAATCTTATCAAATTATTATGGCATTTTTCACAGAACTAGAATAAAAAAGTCTTAAAATCTGTATGGCTTAACAAAAGGCCCCAAATAGTCACAGCAATCTTGAAAAAGAAAAATGGAGCTGGAGAAATCAGGCTTCCTGACTTCAGACTTTATAACAAAGCTACAGTCATTAAAACAGTATGGTATCAGCACAAAAACAGACACATTAGATCAATGTAACAAAACAGAGAGCCCAGAAATAAACTCACACACTTATCAATTAATCTATGACAAAAGATGCAAGACTATGTAATGGGAAAGGACAGTTGCTTCAATAACTGGTGCTGGGAAATCTAGACAGTTATGGCTAGAAGAATAAAATCAGATCATTTTCTCATACCATATAAAAAATAAGCTCAAATTGATTAAAGACCTAAATCTAAGACCAAAACCATAAAACTCCTAGGAGAAAACATAGGCAAGACACAAACTGCAGCAGTATTGTTTTGAATCTATCTCCTAAAGCAAAGGAAATAAAAGCAAAAATAAACAAATGGGGTCTAATTAAACTTAAAAGCATCAGCATAGTGAAGGAAACCATTGAAAAAAATGAAAAGACAACCTATTAAATGGGATAAAATATCTGTAAAAGATATGACCAGTAAGGGGCTAACATCCAAAATATATAAATAGCTCACACAATTCATTATCAATAAAAGCCAAATCAATTAAAAAATGGGCAAAAAGACCTGAATAGACATATTTTGCCAAAGAAGACATACATATGGCTAACAGAAATATGAAAAGATGTTCAACATCATGCGTCATTAGAGAAGTGCAAATCAAAACCACAATATGCTACCACCTTGTACTTGTTAGAACGGCTATCATGAAAAAGAACAACAAACAACAAATGTTGCTGAGGATGTGGAGAAAAGGGAAGCCTTGTACAATGTTGGTGAGAACTGGTACAGCCACTATGAAAACGAGTATAGAGTTTTCTCAAAAAACTAAAAACAGAATTACCATTATGAACCAGCAATTTCACTTCTAGATATACACATATCCAAAAAAATGTAAACACTAATTTGAAAAGATACATTTAGCCCAATGTTCACAGTGGCACTATTTACTGTAGCCAAAATATGTAAGCCAACTAAGTGTCCTTTGATAGATAAATATGTATATACATATATGTGTGTGTGTGTGTGTGTGTATACACACACACATATCTCATCCATAAAAAAAAAAATGAAATTTTGACATTTGCAACAACGTGGATGAACCTGGATGATACTATGCTTAGTGAAACAAGTCAGATAGAGAAAGACAACTAATATCTTATCACTTAAATTTGAAATCAAAAAACATAAAATAAATGAATACACATAACAGAAAAGAAACAGACTTGGAGAAAAAGAGGACATCCCAGTAGCTACCAATGAGAAGAAGGAAGAGATAAGGGGCAAGACAGGTAGGGATAGGGGATTAAGAGGCACAAACTATTACATATAAAATAAATAAGGTACAAGGATACATTGGACAGCACAGGGAATATAGCCAATATTTTATAGTAACTTTAAATGAAGTATAATATATAAACATTTTGAATTACTATGTTGTACACCTGAAACTAATATAATACTGCAAATGAACTCTACCTCAAAGAAAAACAGATGCTTAAGAACCTCTAAACAATTAATTTTAACTTCAACTATACAAAACAAATACTATTTTAGGACTCAATATTGCTTATGAGAAAGCATACTAGTGACTTTTCAGTCTCAAAGGACACTAAGCAAACACAATTTAATTAATATTCCTTACACCTGACCTGCCTCTTGAGAAACCTGTCTGCAGGTCAGGAAGCAACACTTAGAACTGGACATGGAACAACAGACTGGTTCCAAATAGGAAAATGAGTATGTCAAGGCGTATATTGTCACCCTGCTTATTTAAGTTATATACAGAGTACATCATGAGAAACGCTGGGCTNCATTGGAAAAGACCCTGATGCTGGGAGGGATTTGGGACAGGAGGAGAAGGGGATGACAGAGGATGAGATGGCTGGATCGCATCACTGACTCGATGGACATGAGTTTGAGTAGACTCCGGGAGTTGGTGATGGACAGGGAGGCCTGGCGTGCTGCGGTTCATGGGGTCGCAAAGAGTCAGACACGACTGAGGGACTGAACTGAAGTGAATACAGAATTTAATGCCTCAGTCTTACTACTTCGGTGGCAGTCACTAACTAGTCAGAAAAGAATTTCTCTGGCCCAAAAGCATCAGGGCTTTTAAATGTTATTTATATATTCACATGCCAATAGTCTTAGAAATTATATTTAATAATAGCATTTCATAATCACTCTAGTATTATTTTAGGGTAGAAGGTAAGGATCTAGAATAAGATAGCAAGGTAACAGTAATGAAGAAATTGTAAATGTTTAAAATCTGTTAGGTGAAAAATTAAATTGCTTTAATTTCTAGAAGGATTCGGTGTACTGACCCTGCCAGAGCTGAAGGAAGCGAGGCTGAAGCGTGGAGGTGATCACACTCTCGGGCAGCTCCCGCAGGAAGAGCTTTAACAGGCTGGCCGCCGCGCACACGTCCCCATCTCGCCCCAGCTCCACGGGCACCCCGCTCTCAAATTTCCATCGAAGCTGTTCCACCACCTTGACATTGCCATTCACCCGGAAAAGGCCTTCCTGGGTGAGTCCTGAAACAGCCAAGATGACACAAAGAAAATAAACAGAGGTCTCTCACCGATACGAACTCTAAATGACAGTAACAAATAAACCTCAGTATAAAATTTTCTGAATAATTATCAAGCCCTGGAAGATCTTCACATTTTATAAAAACATTTTCTTAGAATAATAAGTTTTCCCATTTACTATATATCAACCCCAAACATCATAGATGATTGTTGTGAAAACTGACGTCTAAAAATAAGGTCAGGACACAAGACACACAGAACACACACTACTCTACAAAGGAATGTCATTCATATAATCTTCTACAATATACAACAGAAATTTACTCTGGGCTCCAAAAACAACTTATCATTTTGAGAACAACTATTTAAAAAAGAATAACATGTAACTAAGAAACTTCTTAACTGTACGTGATTACCTTTGCAATTACTTGATAAAGAACTATTACTTCTTCAGTAATCAATAAATGCAAACTGTTAGACTTAGAGACTGTAAAGTAGTTAAGAAAAGATCTTGGCCTTTAGCCTATTGATCTGTGATCATCAGTGTTAGTTGGGGTCAGCCGAGAAGGCTTCACGGAGAAGCCTCTCATTAATCGGGGCCCTCTCCAGTGTTCTATCCCTGTTTCTGTACTCTTAATTCTGTATTCTTTCTCTTAACAAAGGCCACAAAAGGGTTAAGCATCACAACCCAAAAAAACTTGATTGATCCCTGACAAAGAGAAACCAATATATGAATTGAGAAGCTGAGAGAGGAGAACAGAGAGGCAGGTGAAAATATGGAGTGTTTAAGTCAAAGAATCATGGGTTAATAAAATGCAAGAAATGTTAAGTAAAGGATAATGCACATCAAGACAAAGGGCAAAGACTTTATCATAATTTATCAATGGAGCATTAAATGTGTGTTTGGCTGTGGGAGACAAATAAACAAGATTGAAAGAAGACCTAGCCAGCTAAGTAGAGAATGCAGAAGGCAGAGAGCTTGTCTTAGGGTGACTACAGTCTATGTAAGGCAGTAAGACAGAGACTATGGTGGGAAGGGAGTGAAAAGGAAAGAATAAAGATGATTTGGGAACTTGGTACCTACAAAGAAAACAGAGTAGTGGGGAAGATTGAAAAGTAACTTTAACATTTGAAGACTAGGAATTCAGGAAAAAGTACTGTAAAGAATGAGGTGGGTGGGGTGGTGGTGGAAGGGTGGCGGCTGGTTTGAGGTAGAGGACAATGATTTCCAGTTCAGTGTGCTGGGTTCAAGGAGACCAAGTGCCATGAAAGCATGTGAGTCAGATGGTGGAGGAATGTTGAAGGTGTGAGAAACAATCTAAGAAAAGAGTAACCCGTGGGCTCAACTCGCCACTCTCTTTTCCAGAGTCCAACAGTGAATTTCAGCTAAGAACCTAAGCATTGAAGCCTATCTGAATTATTTAGATGGCAGGTGTTTGTTCTTATTAGCCTTGGCTTCTCTCTCTTTCCTCTAACTGTATTTCTCTTTCTAAAGAAAAAGAAAGCTAATTTCATTTTACTTTGTAATTTGATAAGACATTCATGAATCCTTTAATTCAGCAAAGGACCCTGCAGTATGTTAGGTACGAAAACAAAAAACTAACTATGAGAAAAAAACTTCAAACACCACCAGAATCCTTATGGAATTTGTCATTTGGTAAGATGTTTTTGTACTTCTACGTATACACATATTATTGGGTTGTGAATTTTAGCTCAATTTTGACAAAAATTTGTGAAACCAGATATGATACTAAAAATATTTCACAATTGGTATGGCTAGGCCACCATGTAACAGAGGAGACAGCAGGCAGTTTGTGAGCTAGGCAGCTTCTCAACTGGCCCTAGTGACTGACCCTCACCTCTTGGTATCCATGCCATGTGGAACCCCCTCCCCTCCTCTAGTGTGGTCTGGACCTAGTGGTCTGGACCTAGTGACTTGCTTCTAAACAAGAGAATGTGATGAGGTTCCAATGTCACTTCTGAGATTAGCTTATAAGACTGTGATGCCTACTTTGCTTGCTCGTGTTCTCTCCGACTGTTCTTGTTTGCTCACTCTAATGAATCAGCTGTTGTTTTGTGAGCTCCCTTATAAAAAGGTCCACGTGGCAAGGAAGTGAGGGCAGTTTCTAGACAACAGTCAGCGAGTAACCCAGACCCTCAGGTCAACAGGCCACAAGGAACTGGATCCTGCCAACAACCACGTGAATGACCTTGGAAGTGAACCTTTACCCAGTCAAGTCCTGATATGAATGGTAGCCTCAGCCAACACCATGACTGCAGCCTTAAAAGAGACCCTAAAACAGAAGGCATAGCTAAGCTGTGCCAGAATTCCTAACCCATAGGAACTGTGGGATAATAAATAGTCCTAATCTACTATGTTTTGGGGTCATCTGTTTTGCACCAACAGATAACTCAGGTGATATGCCATTTGCTTTAATACTGCAGTGTATCAGTTACTACTGGGAGACTTCAACTTAATCATTTTTAAAGCTTTCAAGGTCTATTTCCTCTACAAAGCTTCATTCATAACTTCAGAAACATATTCTGGCATCAAGCAGGTACTGCTCAATAAAAGAGAATCCCATTCCTGGTCAAGGCCCAAATTCTGAAGATACATAATTTGACAAAATAGTCCTCTATCTACCCAGCTCCAGAGCCTGCTTTTGGCCCAGCAAATGCCCCTGGATCTGATTTCACAGTAATTTTCTAGCTTTGACCTGAGGTTCCCTCTCCCAACAAGGTTTTTTGACCCTTCCCTCAAATAAATGTACTTTCAGTTATTCAAAAATAACTAGCCAGCTCCAAGAACTGGCTTTAGTCTTAAACGTTCCTGATCCCTGTGAACCTTAATAAAGGAAAGAGAAGCTACAAATAGAAGTCATCAAAGTCAATGCTTCTCAACCATTTTTTCTTCCCTGATATCACTTATTTGTAGACCTCTCTTCCCTCAGGAACTTCTCTCACCCAAACACCTTGAAGGATACTTAGTGACTTTTCAATTAGGACATGGCTATTTTACACTCTGGCAAAAAAAAAAAAAAATCCATATAGTTTTTTAAAGTCCCTTATGAACTTATATATATATACAATACCCATATGAAGCTTACCAGACTATACAGTCTCTAATGTTTCCTATTATAAATTTTTAGGAAATGATTACAACAGAAATGTTCAGAGGGAGGAGATGTTTAGAAAGCTTTATGGAGTTACTCTCATACATTTGAGATTTTGTCACATCTGATTTCATGAGATGTAGATTAATCATAATGAAACATCAATTTAATGGATTAGCAATGCCAAACATTAACACATACAGCACTGACAGCTACCACTGAAGTATTTATTTAAAAATCTAATGAATACATGTATGATCGTATGAATCCATCAACAGAAACTGAACATGCCAGAAGTCAGAATTTTTCTTAGCACACTGGCCCAGGCAGTCATATAACAATATGTATGCGTATTCTGACATCTGGTGGTAAGTAGAGAATCCTACACTATTTAAATATCCCACAGCATCTTCATGTTAAAGTAGAAGCAATCAGTAACACAGTCAACAAGATTAGTTATTTTAAAATAACTGATCAGTATAAACATTATATGACTCATAACTTAAAAGATTTTCCTTTGAATGGAAAAATACATGTACATTTTGTGGGATTTTTTTTTTAGTTTTTATAAAAACCCAAAGTCTATTTTTGTTGTTCAGTTGCTCACTTGTGTCTGACTCTGCAACCCCATAGACTGCAGCACGCCAGGCTTCCCTGTCTTTCACTATCTCCAGAAGTTTGCTCAAACTCATATCCATTGAGTCGCTGATGCCATCCAGCCATCTCACCCTCTGTTGCCCCCTTCTCTTGCCCTCAATCCTTCCCAGCATCAGGGTCTTTTCCAGTGAGTCGCCTCTTTGCATTTGGTGGCCAAAGAAAAGTCTATTTAAAAGGTCTTAATAAAGTGCTTGATAAACACTTTCTGTTCTAAAATTCCTTTATAATAGTAAAAGGCTTCCCTCACAGCAAGTTGTTAGATATTCTCATTTACATTAAACAACAAAGTACGACCACAATATCTAAATACGGTTAATTATACAACCAATCATTCTGAATCCCATATCTGACAGAGTGCCTACTGTCTCACAGTTGCATAATAAATATTTGTTGACTTAAGCTATAAAACAGCTACACAAAACCAACTGAAGTATCCTGCCCTCAAACTCCATTTTATTTTTGTTGTTTGGTCACTAAGTCATGTCCGATGCTTTTGTGACCCCATGGACTGTAGCCCACCAGGATCCTCTATCCGTGGGATTTCCCAGGCAAGAATACTGGAGTGGGTTGCCATTTCCTTCTCCAGAAGATCTTCTTGACCCGGGGAATGAACCCAAGTCTCCTGCATTGGCAGACGGAATTCTTTACTACTGAGCCACCAGGGAATCTCCTCAAACTCCACACCACACTTCAAACTTACACGGGCCCTATGCTTTTATTAACATAATAGTTTCAAATACATAAAGGGCTTCTGGCTGTCTACAGTGTAATTAACTATATAGTTTTTCAAAATACAGGGCAGGTGCCCGTCAAGACTTTGATTCAGTAGATCCTAGGTACTGTCAATGAGTGTGTATCCTGAACACACATTCTTAACCAGGGTATTCTTAACCCTGGTTAAGAATGACTGACTGAAGGACTTTCCTGGTGGTCCAGCGGTTAAGACTGTGTTTCCAGTGCAGGGGCCATGTGTTTGATGGCTGACTGGTCCCACTAAAACATTTAGTTTTGTATTACCTGAATACACCCTATTAAAGTACAATGAAGGGTACACTAGGGAGAAATAGAAGGAACACAATCTCTAATTCAAAATTTGCCCAGATTTTCATACACTGATCATGTCAATGTAAACTAGCTCAACTCCTAAGATTATTAGTGCACATATCTTTTGATCCATAAGCCCACTTCCAGAAGGTTAGTCTACAGGCACATCACTGTGCTTGATACATGTTAAAGGTTGGTCACTGAATCAGTGTCTGCAAACATCAAAAGACTGGAACAATTCAACGCTGATCAGGATGTGACCAGTTAACACAGTGACACATATACACATAAAGTGTAACAGCATGCAGAGGAATAAAGAATTAAATGAGGAAAGCTCTTTATGGAAAATGGAACAGTCTCCAAAATATACCATTGAGTGATTTTTTTAAAAGAAGATTCATAAACAGTGTGCATGATATGCTAATGTTAAAAGGGAAAAGAAAATACACAAATTTGCTTATATATTCAGATATCTTAGCAAGAACATAGCAAAAAATAGTATAGTAGTATTGTTTTGGGGAGGGGGCGATGAAAGGTCAGGGGACAGGGTTTGGAAGGAGACACTTTTCACTGTATACCTTTCTGAATTTCAAACCACATAAATTTAGTAGTTATTCAATATTGTTTTAAGAGATTAAAAATAAAAATGATTTTAAATAAAGTGTTAATCGCTCAGCTGTGTCCAACTTTTTGTGACCCCATGGACTGTAGCCAGTCAGGCTTCTCTGTTCATAGAATTCTCCAGGCAAGAATACTGTTGTGGGATGATATTCCCTCCTCCAGGGGATCTTCCTGACCCAGGGATCAAACCCAGGTCTCCCCCATTGCAGGTAGCTTCGTTACGGTCTGAGCTACCAGGGAAGCCCAATTTTACGTAAGAGTGACCTCAAAAGGCTATTATTTAATTATTGTTGGGTAACAGGTCAGAATACTGGTGATGCCATAATGAAAATGTTATCTTAGGTGGTCACAGTTTGGCATCCAAATGAGTAATACCAAACAACCCTATTTAAGATATTAAATGAATTATTTAGTGATCATCTTGTATCTAAGTCAGAGATTACAGTTTTACTCAATAGTGAGTGTGTAACTAAGTTCTGTCAAAGGTCTAATTCTGTAACACCTGGCTTCAAGATTTTGAAGGCCAAGGGCCCATCTTCCTGCCATACCATATATAACACCTTTGTGTTTAACCTGCTTAAAGTGTTTGAACAAACCCAGAACTGTTCTCTAAGAATCTCACCCTCCTGCAGCTGTCTTCCTCCCAAAACACTAACACCTAGGAGTAAGAATGCAATGAGTCCCTGGCTCTTCAGTTTTCAAAGCAAAATGCTATAATATTTTCTCATCTACATACCAAATAACCTGAGCAAAGGGCTGTTTTTCAATTAACACAAAACACCTGACAGCCTTCTGAGGCCTGAACTGTCTGCCATTCAGTCCCTGTCACAGCACATACACGTTCCTACAGAGGAAGGTGGAACATTTCCCCCAGCCTCCTCCTCAGCAGGGGGAGCTGACTTGGAATCACGCCAAGACTAAGGGGAAGCAAACTGCGCAGAGTACAGAATTTCTCCCAAATCTCAAGTTTTACCTTTAAAAATACCCACAAGTTTTATAATCTACTCTGCAAAGTGTCTTGTTTTAGTATAGAAATGTTCATTTTAGCATAGAAAATGAAGATTACAAGCTCTTCCCTCAGAACAGCTTCTTTCCAAATCCCTTAAAGTTTATTGATATTTATTATACAGTTTGGATCACCCATCACCCTGTCCTCATTTGATAAGCATCATTCTCTCAAACTCTTGAGGGTCCCTTGGAGAGCAAGGAGGTCAAACCAGTCAATCCTAAAGGAAATCAACCCTGAATATTCAGGAAAAGGAAGGACTGATACTGAAGCTGAAGCTCCAGTACTCTGGCCACCTGCGGTAAACAGCTGACTCTTTGGAAAAGACCCTGATGCTGGGAAAGATAGAAGGCAGGAGGAGAAGGGGGCAACAGAGGATGAGATGGTTGGATGGCATCACCGACTTAATGGACTTGAGTTTGAGCAAACTGTGGGAGACAGGAAGGGAAACCTGGTGTGCTACAGTCCATGGGGTCACAGAAATTCGGACAGGACTGAACGACTTAATAATAACATTCTCTCAAGTCATCCAGGTTTTTAAGTCCTATTTTAAATAAAATAATTTAAAAAGCTATAAAACATGCTAGCTATCACTAACAAAGAGAGGATATGATTTTCTTTGCATGCAATGTTCTATGGCAGTCTGCAATCATTTTACACAATTTTATCATTCCCAAAGTTAATGCCCCCTCCCAACACCATAGTAGGTTATACATAATACTTTCTTTTGCTATTTCTGCTGAGTTTTGAAAGTAATCAACATATTCAGTAAGTTCATGACTGACCTCAAACTGAAAGAGATACTCAAAGTATTCTGTTACATTAAAAAGTATTGACTCTCAGAGGGAATAAGTGAAGAGAACTCAGCATTAATATTAAAAGAGTGTCTTTTAGCACTTAACACTAGGAATCATTCCAAACTAGAAACCTCAATAACTAAAGTGATTTCTCCATGGTGAGCTGAATTAAGTATTTTCCAAATAATGTTAACAGTCACAATGCTCTTAACATCCTTTTTAAGGGCAGGGTATATTATGCCGTAATTCACTATTCTGATTAAGGTGTTTCAGGGAATATTCTAATAATGCATGATGAATTCACACTGACACATTCTTCTGTAAAAACAGCAAAGTCACACAACACGACTGGACTCACCGTGTAGGGTCAAGTACTCCACGATGCTCCCCACGATGGCTGGAACCCCGTTCTCGGTCAGCCCCTGCCGGTGAAGGTCCTGGAGACTGACTCCAAACAGCTTGGTATAGGCGGGATTCCGCTGCTCGTGTAGCGGCACTGCGACTATCTTTTTCATGTCTTCTTTCAGCCGAACCGCTGTTTTACTTTGCTTAAAATAGCGTGAGAAAAAAGAGCAGTCAGTTATATTTACCACAGGAGGCTGCATGGTGGCCACACAGTCACCTGAGGGAAGGGGTAAGTACTGAGGCTGTTGAGCAGCGGTCTTCACTCATCTTCACGTCAACTCAAACCTAAATCCCTAACAACCCTCACATGCTGCTCAGGGTCAGGAATGGCTACCCGGATATCATGATTAAAAGAAATGAAAGATAATGAGAAACCTAAAGCCACAACCTAACCGTAACTAAGAGAGGGAGCAATACACTGCAGTATCTAGGATAGATTACTACAGTAACCGGGGGTGTGACTCACAAGTACCTGGTTAACAGGAAAATAAAACCTTTGTCAGAACACTGAAATCCCATGCAGATCCTGTAACAGTAAGACTGTTACAGTTACTGAAAATGAAAATTTATCTAGATGTCATCTTAAGGTAGCTTTAATTTGAAGCACTAGAACATATAAATATGTAGAAGGAACCCTTATTTCTCTGATTTAAGTATATCTGAAGATCTCGCTGACATATTGGCATATAAAATCAACTCAGTTCTCTTTGATGTTCAGAATGCTATAATCTCTGAAATACCAAAGTTTCAGGTAATCACAACTTAGGCAATTTCAACAAAACTGTACATGTTATAAATAAAAATGCAACTTACAGTTCATTCAAGTTATCACAGTGAAAACTTCATACAGGTTTGTTTCTTCCTTTTAATAGAAAAATTGTCCCCAATGAAGTAAAAGATAATTTTTAATATGGTTTAACATAATTGAGTTTTTTTTTTTTTTTTTTTTTTAATAAAGCATGTGTCCTATGTAAATGTATGGATCTGTAACTCTAAACACTAAAATGATGGCAAAAAGCAATAAATTTTATTTGAGGACAGGGGAAGCAGATTAGGGGAAATATACCCTTTTGAGAATGAATGAAACTAACCAAAGTGTCAATACTGTAAGTGCAGGTTCATGTAGACCTTACAATCTAAAAAGAGAAACACTATCTCCATCATAGAGATGAGGAAACAAAGATCAAAGAGTTAAGAAGTAATTTGGCAAACATCATGGAGCTGATAAGAGTTTCATCATACTCCAAGTCCATGTTCCTCTCCTTAATTTAAATTTATATTAACATTGAAGTAGTTTACATATAATTATAGTAACAAACTATGATAAATACTACATGTGACACATGACAGCTACACAAAGAAAATTCTACAATTGTGATTTTTAGTAGGATTTCTGTAGTTTCAATTTGATTTTGAATCTTACAATCTATAGAATCACACCAACTTTCATGGACATCTCAGCATCTTTCAATAGGTCATATTTGAAAGCCAAATTTCCCTAGTAAAATTCAGCAAATATATAAAGTTATACACAAGTTTGAGCAAACTCCAGGAGATAGTGAAGGACTGGGAAGCCTAGCATGCTGCCGTTCATGGGATTGCAAAAAGTCGAACACAACTGAGCGACTGTACTGAACTGAACTGAATATTCTAAATAAGGCATAGTGTTAGCTACTACAGAGTGGTATGGGCAAGAACTGTCGCTTCTGTTATCAAGGAAGCTATTAAGTCAAATCTATAACCACCACTGTTTTAAATCTGTGAGTTTAAAAACCTGTAAGTATCTTTCAAAAGAGCCCATGGAAAATTTCATTCAACTGGGTCTATCTGGTGAGTAAGCAGCCAAAAAGTAACCTGTAATAATGAAACTTTGAAAGCAGTCTTAAATGTAGCATCAGAAACAGCTGACAATGAGATCAAATCATACAAACTTTATCATTATCTTACAAACACAACATAGTACACTGGTTTAGAGCACGGACTGTGGAACCAGACTGTTTTGAATCCCATTCCAATATCATTAGCCGTGCAAACTTGGACAAGTCACTTACACTCTGTTTTCCCATCTAAGAAATGGGGATACTGGGAGTTCCTGGAGTATATGAATAAATGAGCTTGGAAGGAGCTCATATATATGTAAGAATGAGAAGAGTGTCTGGGACACTTAGTAAGTACCAATTGTTACAATCATTATCATTATCATCCTTATTCCAGGAAATTACTCTGATTTCTTCTCAAAACAATTCAGAGATCCTTAACCACTTCTGTACTCAAATGTTTGTGTCAACTAAAGACTGTGGTTGAAAAAGGCACCATGGTCAAGGCTTGTGGTTGGTAGATAGTCTAATGATCTAATTATTCTCCAAGTACCTCAATTTCTTAAAATACACAGGTATGACTTTTGAAAGATAAAATCATTTTGCACATCAGTGTCAAAATTTATAAAATTTTTATTAGAAATTCAAAGTTTTCTTAGAAATCCTGTTTATATGTTTAAAACCTAAATTAACATTCTTTCTGCTAACAGTCCTGTTCTTTATTCTATCTTTTACTAAAGTACAGTCAGTATGTTGCGTCTATTAACAGTGTAAATAGGCAATCTTGGCATTACAGCTCAATATTTTCAAGGATGAGACATGTAATTAACCTCACACACTTTGAACTGATTGCAAATTAAGCTGTTTACTCAATATAGACTCCTACCACACAGCAAGTTTATATATAATCAAAGCAATAAAGGAATACTTGATTCATCATTTTTAATTGATAATTTAATTTAGGTTAATATTTTTAAAAGATATATACTGTTTTTAAAAAAACTCTAGGAAACAAAACACCTATATTTTCAGAGACATACAAAGTAGATTAAGCAGAAAAGTAAATCAACAGAAGACAGAAAACTATAAAGTCCAATTTGTGTATTATTGCTGCTAAAGGCAAATATGGGACAGGAAACATATCACAGACATCACACCAGCTCTAGGAGGAGTCTGGGGAGGATCAGTAGGAGCCCAGGAGTGGACATTCTTTAAAATCTCCTACAAATGTGTATTACTTTAAAGATAGAGAGCATACTCTGGGAGCTGAACAGGGCTCAGTTGCATAGAGGAAAAAGATACAGAAAATATCTACAGAGACCCCGAGAGGCAGTTATCAGGAAGCACCAGGAAAATTCACTGCCTAATAGTCAGTTCATGACCTTGGAGAGCAAGTTTATGAAGAAAAGGCAGTAGAGTCCTCCTGACCAGGCGAGCTTCTGAGAGAAGTCAGAGCAATGGGCGAACAGAAGGGCCACATTCAAGAAAACGGTCCTTTGGTAGCAATACAGGAGGGAGTCTCAGGGTTGAAAACTTGAAAATACCTTGGCCTCTCATCGCTACACCCTACAGGACCCTCTTGATACTGAAGTACAAAAATCCATCTCATTGAAATGTGAGCAAGGAAAAAGGAACATAGTCAGCAACTAAACACACAGTGTTTTTAAAAGAATAAAGGAACATCACAATTTTCTTTCTTTTTTTTCACAACTTTCTTGAAATAACTCATTAGAAAAATGTTGCCAAGAAACAAATAACAACTGTAACCTAACAAAATAGCCAAAGTTAATAAGGATACCAAAAAGCACATGCAACAAAGACAAAGAAACTGTATTTCGTTAAAGTGAAAAACTTTCATGCATTAAAGATACTATCAGCAGAGTGAAATGACAATCCACAGAATTGGAAAAAGTATTAGCAAATCATATATCTGATATAAGTCTAAAATATTCAAAATATGTTTAAGAACACATGCAGCGCAACACAACAAAATTCATTTCAAAAATGAATAAACACTTATCCAAAAATGATAGCCAAGTGGCTAATAAGCACAAAAAATGCTCAATTTCACTACTCATTAACCATACGCAAATCAGAACCACAATTAGATATACTTCACACCCATCAAGATGATAAGTGAAAGTGTTAGTCGCTCAGCGGGGTCTTTGCAGCTCCATTCATTTCCTTCTCCAGGGGACCCTCCTGACCCAGGGATTAAACCTGGGTCTCCTACATTGTGGACAGATCCTTTACTGTCTGAGCCACCAGGCAGTGCCCCCATTAAGACAGTTACTATTAAAAAAAAAAAACAAAACAGAAAATAAAGAGCTAGGTAGGATGTAGAAAAACTGGAACCCTTATGCATTGCTGGTGATGATGTAAAATGATATAGCACTATGGCAAACAGAGGTTCCTCAAAAAATTAAATATAGAATTACTGTATGATCCATCAATTACACTTCGAGTTATATAACCTAAAATCAGGAACTAAAATAGGTACCTGTAGACCAATGTTCATAGTAGCATTATTCACAACAGTCAAAAAGTAGAGGTTACTATTCAAAAGCCTATCAAAAGATGAATAAACAAAATGTGGGGTGTGTTTATATATATACACACACACATAGATTATAAAGGCAAATGTAACTATACTATTTGTATATTTACCCTGTTTTTGCTTCTTATTTTGGAGGTCTTTCCATATAGCACATATATTTGCTAATATTACACTATAAAGACACTATAACTGACTTAACCAATCTTATTTGCTGATGTTTAGGTTGTTTACAGTTCTTGATATTACAAGTATTTCAGCAATAAGCAATCATGAAAATATTTCTACATAATTGTACAAATACCTATAAGATAAATTCTTAGAGGGACAATTGCTAGATGGACAGGCTTATGAAGCTATAATTTTTTTAATACTACCTCCAAGAGTTAAAAAAGGAGCTTTTTGCTACTAGATTATATGAAAGCAAAATAAATTCCCCTTTAACTTAAATTACTGTATAAATCATAAATTTTAATAAGTATTGCCACATTGCCCTACAAAAATGCTTTCATGGTTTACAGCTTGATTCATAGCATATGAGAGTGCCTGTTTCCCATTTTATCAACCATGAGTACTAAAAAATTTCATGAATTAACTATGAATGAGATTGAGCAATTTTCTTTGTGAATGCATTTATGTTTCTTGTTTGTGAGCCTCCTAGTCACAAGCTCTGCCTAGTTTTAATTGGGTAGTTTTCTTGTTTCCTACTGATTTGTAGGAATTTTTTTGTATATTAAAATAATTAATCTTGTTTTAGTCATGTGTGTTTTAA